AGACATAATTAATCATAAATTAGTTACTATCTAATTTAATATTCATATTATGTAAAGGTTGGTAGCTACCAAAGTGGCCTAACCATAATAGTTGATGAATATTAATTTTAGTAGTATACATAATTGCAATATTTCATGAATTATGATGCTTATAATTTTTGTGATATTCATGAATATTGATTTTATTTAATTATGAGAAATAATTCCTCAAAGGGAATTGATTTTCAAGTGATTAAATAAAAATTAAAGGGTCGTATGTATTTTTTTTTAATTAGGTAAATATAGGATATCCAAAGGTAACTTATTTGTTTGATTAAATAATGCATCACCAATAAATGTATACATATAAATACATGTAAGCATCATTATTAGTATTTTATAGTTGCCACCCAAAGGGATACTATAGTTATACATTGTATTTATATTTTTAAGTTATACATACATGTTATTAACTCAAAGCATTATTGTTGTTAAGATTTTATCTTATTATGTTTGTTTTATTACATCCCTTAATGCGCATGCTACTTCTGTTCTGATTCTAAATATAACTAACTTCTCATAATGGAATGAGTAAGTTGAGTTCAAAATTTAGATATGTTAAATCTTGATTTAGCATTTTAAATTGAGAAACTTACCGTTATTACTGATAAAAACAGTGAGGAAGAAAAGATTCTCCATAAAGCTTGGCAGAGATCGAACAGATTAAACATTATGGTTATGCGAATAATTGTTCCTCATAGTGATAGTGCTAAGGAATATTTGATTATAAGAATGTTTTCGTGTTGTAGATAAATATCTAAAACGAAAATTATTAATTGATATAATTACTATGGATTTTTTGTTGTCCTCGTACCATGTATGATCTTATTTTTAGATGACTAATGTTGCTGCAAAATTGAGAACCTTATGGATGATTGTGAATGGGAATTTTCTTATTCAATTTATTCTCAATTTCTTGTCTATTCAGTATGGGTCATTTCGAATTAACACTATTAAGACAAGTGGAAAGTGATTTAATTGACCATTATGTTAATTTATGAAGAGACAAAACTTAAGTAGCAAGGTAATCATTATGTTCATCTGACGACTCAAGAAGTTAGAAAGAAATTTGGGAATAAGTCAGAAAAGGCAATAAGTGAGCAACACCCAAAATTAAAAGATTTAGGTCAATCTACTAAAATAAAGTAATGTAATAATGAAAAAGTGTCATTAATGTATTGAACACTTTTAGAAAGATTACATGACACATAAAGAATGATTTGAAAAAGAAAAGTACGCTTTTGGCTTTTGTATATTGCGAATTACTTGTTGAAATTCTTTTTAATACATGATAGGTTGACTTAAGTACTAATATTTATATTTCTAATAGATGTAAGAATTTTTTATGGCCTAAACCACAAATTCAAATAAGAATTTCTTATTTATGATAATTGGGAAAAAGTTTTGTTGAAACCATTGTGACACTATGTTTAATGTTAGACAATGGATTTTATTTAAATTGTTTTAAAATTTTTATGTTTATTCAATTTCCCATAATTTGATTTTATTTCAAAAACTTTATGTTAATGGTTTTTCATTTAAATTTGGTAATGATATTTATTTAAGAAATTATAATTTGTGAGTTATGGCATTATTGTTGATTATTTCTGTAAATTCAAATTTGATGGTTTATTTATTAAAATCCTTTTGATCTTGTATCATAATGTTAGAATTAAGCGTAACTCAATTAATAGAAAATTTATCTTTGGCATAAAAGACTAGGTCAATATCTAGTGAAAGGTTAGGAAAATTAGTAAATGATGTAATTCTTCTGAATCTAAACTTTACTGATTTTGATGTGTGTGTAGATTGTATTAAGGATAGACAAACTAAACGCACAAAGAAATGAGCCACAATAAGTACATAGCTTCTTGAAATTATTTGTAGACTTTCTGATGTTCCATCTTTTGGAGGAGAAAAGTATGTTATCGCCTTTATAGTTGATTTTTCACTTTATAGATAATCTAATTGTTGCGTGAAAAATCTCAAGTAGTGGGTACTCTTGAAGTATACATAAATGAGGTTGAAAAACAACTAGATAGAAAGTGAAAATCATAAGGTTATATAGAGGTGGTGAATATTATGTAAAGTATGATGAAACAGGTTAATACTCTAACCGTTTGTTAAACTCCTTGAAATGTATGCCATTTGTGTTCAATACACTTTGTTATATATGCCACAGTAGAAGCGTGTAGCTGTAAGGCGTAATCGTACTCTTGTGAAATTGGTTAGGAGTATGTTAAGTAATTCCTCGTTACCCATAATGTTGTGGATATTAAGTAATCTAAAGGGTACAAGTTTTATTATCCGAAACATAGTAAGATAATTATTGAAATCGGTAATGTCAGATTCATTAAGAATGGTGAAATCAGTGGGAGTGATAAAAATAAGAATTTGATCATTTCAGAAGTTAGGGTACAAATATCTTTACCCATAACTTATAAGGAAATAATTGTTCCTTCAGTTGTTGAACCGTATAATAACGAAGAACAATTAAATGATCAACAACTCTATAATGAGATTGTCACCAATGAATAGATTGTAAAAGAATCATAAGGAATAACATTAAGACGATCTCAAAGAGAAATGAGATCTGCTATTCCGGATGACTATGTGATATATCTGCAAAAATCTGATTTTGATATATAGTAAGATATATACGGATCCGGTTACATATTCACAAGCCATTAACAGTAATGATTTTACTAAATGGATTAGTGTCATGAATGAAGATATTATAAAGAAATCTCCTCTCTAGTATTTAAGAAGAAATCTTTTAAAATATCATGGCATTAGTAACTTATTATGATTTAGAGTTACATCAAATAGATGTGAATGCAATTTTTATGAATAGGAGTTTATAAGAGGAAATCCATATGGAACAACTTGAAGACTTCATATTAGAGGGTAAAGAATTCATGGTCCGTAAACTTAAGATGTCAATATATGGATTTAAACAAGTTTTCTAACAATGGTATATTAAGTTTAATGATACCATTATTTCTTTTGGTTTTAAGAAAAACACTGTTGATCAGTGTATATACTAGAAGGTTAGTGGGAGTAAGTTTATATTTCTGATTCTATATATTGATGATATTTTATTTGTTAGTAGTGATCTTAGTTTATTATATGAAACTAAAAGTTATCTCTAAGAACTTTCAAATGAAATATATGGATGAGGCATCTTATGTGATAGGAATAGAAATATTTCATTATAGATCACATTGATTTGTTTTTAGAATTGTCTCATAAAGCATATATTAAAAGAGTTCTAGAAGATTTGGTTGGAGGAACAATATTATGAAAAAGTGCAAAGTAATTTATGATTACTTTGTCTATTATGAAATTTTAATTTGTAGCATGCTTTGAGGCTATAATTTATGGTTGCAGAATTTATTTCAGGACTTGGAGTTATGGGTACCATTTTCAGATTGCTGAAAATTTATGCTGCAATTGTTGACCTTCTTGTATGAAAAATGATAGGTATTCTAAAGTTGAAATACTTTATCATTAAAGAAGATATTTAGAAATAACGAATGTTTATTGAAATTATAAGCACACAACTTATGATTGCAATCCATTAATGAATGGACTATCATCCAAGACATTTATGGAACATGTTGAAAGAATGGGTCTTAAATGTAGTCAATGATGATTATTTTTTAATTGTGGATTGCTTAAATAGTGCTTATATATATTTGACATTTTACGCTGATTAAATGTGTTTCTGATATTTCCTATTAATTAATGTACATGTACGTATTGTTTTAATAAGTGGTAATAGGAATAGTCTTGGAAAAGACATTATTGTTAGATCATTATTGATATTTCTCATTTATAGACTATGTTGAATAGATTATTAGTGTTGTGGTACATGGAAGGGACTGTGTCATTTAAGGATATATAACCGCCATGACTCGCATTGGTAATTTATTTACCATTGTATTTATGATGACCAATTTAATGAGTTAATCTGATTTATGGTGCACATTAATGACTATTTTACTAAACCACTACAGAAATTATCATATGTGCCAAGTGGGAGAATGTAAGATTATTTATTTAATTGTGGCCCACATGATTTGGACATGTGATATATTACTTGGTGGGTAAGTAAATAGATATCAATTAATATTATTTATTTTTGGTCAACTTATAATTACCTTTTTGGTAATTACTTATTGGAGAAGTGTTTTCCTTTCTTATTCCTTACTTTGATGGAAAGTAGAATTGTGGTACTATAAGGAAAACTGATCCTCTCTCTGCCTTTATAAAAGTGCATATACTCCATCAATTATGTACAATTAATGATACAACACGTAAAAGTTTTATGTGTGCAAAAGGCCAAGAGAGAGAAACCAGTTTCCACTTTTGCCTGTTGATCAGAGTTGCAGATTAGTTCGTGGCCAAAGGATCTGGACGAATCGAAGTATTTATATCTAACTAGTATTTATTTATGCATTATAGATATGTGAAAATCATGAAGTTCTAAGATATGTGATTCATGTAAATTTGTGATTAATGGTTTAACACGAATTATTATAGTTTACATGACCATGAATGGACCCTCATTCCCAAGTCTAACATTTTGTTCTCTTGAGGCTTTGATATCGGTCAGGATGTACTATTTGAAACCATATGACTTGAAGAATTAGGATGGGAAATTGAATTTGGAGACTTACCAGATTGCTGATACTCAGCGGAGTCGGACTGTCGGGTTGGATTATTGCTCGTGGAAGAGTTCAATGGGTTAGAATTATCGTGGGCGTGATATTCTGAGAGTATGGGAGGTTTCCTCCAATGAAATTAGCATGCCAAAATGAAGAACAAATTGGCGGTAAGATTGCCGCGTTGTTCAAATTTGGAGAGTTCCCTATGTCAGCACCACTAATGGACACTGTACGCTTTATTGGTGTGTTGACTAAGCAGCCTGGCCAGAGCTGGTGAGAGGTTTCAAGTGCTTACAAGGAGGAAGCTGCATGAAGCACTTGATTCAACATCCCTGCAAGAACGGTAGCCAAAAACGTGCTTCCATCATCGAGTAGAGTGCACTCACCCAAAAACTCTTGCGGAATGATTGCTGTGTCGTTGACCAAAAAATGCACGCATAGAAGTAAAGAATTGACTTCTTTTTCAAGTATTGAATTTTGTCCAAATCAAAAGGAGTCTGTTATATGTGCAACTGTCAGAAAAAAAGGAAAAGTAAAAATAAAAAAGGATGAGAAAAAAAATTTGGAAATCGAATTTCCTAAGCAGGTTAGATTTGTTAATAGATACATTTTTCTTCATTTTCAAGTTGAGGGTAAAAATTTAACCTTGCATATCTCTAAAAGATAAAAAGAGCAAAAAATGAACAAAGAAAGGGTGTCAACAGAAGTAGCAACAAGACAAATGTTCTATTTAGAAAGGCTGAGAGACCATAAATTCAGGAAGTGGCAAATCTATGTCTCTTGCCATTGAAAGTTCAATCTTCAAACAGTAAATGATGATACAACTAGAAATAGATTCAAAATCAATAGATACATTATTTTGTGAACTGAAGTCCAATCAGTATACATACCTTCAACTACCAACCCAAAGTATATCATGAAAAACAAATTGTTCCAAGGAGAAGAACTTAATTGTTCCAACAAAACCTAAAAAATCAAAAAGCAAATTATGCAACTAATTAATCCTAGATGAAATATAATAATATAAATAGCTGTCTAGCAATCATTAACACAAAAAAATCAATTTGAATCTATTAAATATACAAATAATGCAGCATTCAAATCCTAAAGAGGGGTTTACCTTCTTTGCAACAGTTTTGTTCCCCTTCTTTCCTTTAAAAATGATATCCATCAATTTGTGAAGGAAATGGCCGAAGGTCCCGCATATGCAAAGCCATATAGCTGCAAAGCAATTCAAACACTAATCATCTAACCAAATCCACAAAACCACCCAAAATCAAGAATCATCATGAAATAATTATAGATTATCAGCAGATTAAAATAATACCATTAAAAGAAGCAATCTTCTCAGTTGAAGTTTTCTGATTCCTGAAATATTCTGAGCAATTACATCACTACATCCAACCAAAACTCCAGATGTAATTGCCTAATATTTGGGGGGGAAAAAACCCAATAATTAGAACCATAAACAATCGAGAAAGAGAAAGAACACACATATAAATATATATATATGTATTTATATTAATAAAAGAGAGACCTTTGTTCTGAGAGGGTGGAGTTGCAGTTGTAACAGATACTTTCTCCAACCTTCTTTGACGATCTCAGACATGGTAATCTCAGTTTAATCTCTATCTCTCTAACTAAAAAAACTACTGACTATGTTGCCTCAGGAGAGAGAGGGAAAAGAAGAGAGGGCTTCCACGAAACATAAATGAGAATAAAGAATTGCAAAGAAAGACCAAAACCCATTGCATTTGCGATTGACTTGTCTTTCTAGTCATCTGCAAAAGTCTTTTAACAAAGATTAAAAAAAAAAAAAAAAAAGGGTGTTTCTATGATACCTACCCACATCACATGGTCGGAGACGATAAAGAACGTAGAAAATGGCACCCAATCATATACTTCAATAACAAGCTGAATGTTTAAAGTGAGAGAGAAGTTTTAGGAAGGAAAGTTGAAGGTGACAAAGTAGACCTCCATTAATTGAGCATGCTAAGGTGGCCGAAAAAAATACGTATAAAATAGAATTGACATATGGCTGTGGGGGACGCATCTCAGCCAGTGTGTGTAAATAGTTGGAAGGAATCTGTAAGTACGTATCTGTTACAAGTGGGACTCCTCTGTCCAATTTAGATGGATGGAAGTGTGTATAAATGGATATATATATATATATATATATATATATATATATATATATATATAATATTATTTAATAGTTTGAATTTTTAGGTAAATGGATAAACGTTCACTTGTTACAGTTAATATCATAACTAGATTCACTCCTTAATCGGTGTTACACCAAGCGCTCTGCCGGAAGGGCGTTTGGATCTGGCTCCCGGGTAGGTAGGGTGGCCTGACTGTAACGAAGTCATTGCCCGAGTTCCGGCAGTGGAGAATGTTACAAGTGAAATTTGTCCTACATCGAATTTAGATGGGGTTGAAGTGTGTATAAATGGATAGGTATGCAGAACTACCCAACAAATTGAGCTTTCGGGTTAACAATGAAAACTGCTGATGTCAGCAGGGCGAGCCACAAATTTTCAATGGGGCCAAATAGGAATATAATGTAACATTTAACAAATAAATAAAATAATTACAAAGAGTTTTTTTGGGTGCATTTTTAATAAATATTTTTAAGAGCATATCATATTAGAAAAAATAAATAAAAAGAGATTTGTTAACAACCCATTAATAGTATTTATTTATTTATTTTTTTCTCTCTCTTTAAATCATAGTAAATAATCTATATACTCATATATTGTGAGATATATATTTTGTAATTGGCTAATTTTGTTGTTAAAACAAGTCCGATCGAGTTGTAAGATTTCAGTTCAGAATTTCAAGATTCAAGATCCGAAGCGGATTTGAAGAAGTTCAAGTGTTCATACTTCGATACACTTCGGGATGATGAGATCAATGCTTTAGAAAGGTATTTGAGTGTGTGAAGACACTTCGGAGGTTTGGGAAGGCGAAACACAAGTTTTAGTGGTTTTCAAGTCTGACCAACTTGAATCGGTTCAACCACCCTGAACTCGTTCAAGTGTCAAAGGTGTTTTTCAAAATTCATTACTGGTTAACTTGAATCGGTTCCAGCACCCTGAACCGGTTCAAGTGTTAATGTCATTTTTCTTCGAAAAACCTACTGTCCAACTTGAACCAGTTCAAGGTCTTCAGATATGTTTTGATAACTTAGTTTCCTGGTCTGTTTTGATTCTTATTGTGGGTAGACTTTCTTCCAAAAACCTATGCAGGAAATTGACTTGGTTTCCAAGTATCTTTAGGTCTTCCAAATTTTTAAATAATCTCTCTTTTATTCAACATTGAGGTACAGCTTTTTGGAACACAAATTCATTATTTTGAAAAAGGCTTTTTGAGAGATATTTTTCAGACAATCAAATCTGATTTTTTCTGTTTTTGTATTGAGAACACACACATATATACACGAGTGATTTAGAAGTGTTGTTCTCTATCGCATCGAAATTGGAGCATAATTAAAGATTTAGAAAATTCGAAAAGTAAGTCTATTTCTTCTACAACAAATTTAGATTCATATAAGAAGAATTTTTGATCACACTTCGAAGGGATTAAGGAACTTACGAAGTGTTGCTGATCTAATGGCAATCCTATTATAAGGTTCGACGCATAAGTCTGAAGTCGAGAGCTGTTGGACCAGAAGTCTCAAAGCCAGAGGTGTTCAGAGGGTCATGGTAGAGGGGGGTGTGAGCTTGAGTCAAAGTTCAATGTACTTTGCTTCATACATAGTGGATCATTTACGCTCGGGACAACGCAAAAATCCTCGAGGTTTTTCAATTGGTTTCCTCGCTAAAATCCTTGTGTCATCTCTTTAACTTTACTTGCTTTACTTTTCTATATTTATCTTTGCATAATGAATCTAAAATTGTTTGGGTAAAGAAAGATAGTTTAAATGCCTTACCATGCACACTGCACTTAGAGCACTAGGTCCATGTGGTTGGTACTTTGATAGTGGTTGCTCTAGGCATATGACAGGGGATAGAACATTGTTTATCACTTTTAAGGAATGTTCAGTTGGAACCGTTACTTTTGGTGATGGTAATACTTCTAATATAAGTGGTAAAGGTAAAATCAAATTTTCAGGCATTGGGGAGTTAAAAAATGTTCTATATTTTAAAGATTTAGCTTCTAATTTGCTGAGTATTAGTCAAATATGTGATGAGAAGTTTCAAGTCAATTTTACTCAACAAGGGTGTTTTGTAACTAATAAAAAAGGTGAATGTGTTTTTAAAGGATCTAGAATTTCTGATAATTGCAATGTTGTTTATTCAGATCCTTCACTTACTTGTTTTTCTGTAGTTACCGATGAGGCAATTTTATGGCATAAAGAACTTAGTCATGTGAATTTTAATGATATGGTGAATTTGTCTAACAATGATCTTATTTGAGGTTTGCCTAAGTTGAAACTGCCTAAGAATAAAATATATGATCCATGTCAATAAGGAAAATAAACTAAAGTATCGCATAAGAGACTTAGCCATAGAGTCATTACTCGACCTTTAGAATTGATACATATGGATTTGATGAGTCGCATAACACTTGATAGCATTGGAAGAAAAAGATATTTGCTTGTCATGGTTGATGATTATTCTCGATTTACATTGATTGCCTTTTTGCGAGAAAAATCTGATGCTTTTATGAATTTCAGATCTATTTGTCAACTAATTCAAAATGAGAAAGGGTATCGAATAATTCAAATTAGGAGCGATAATAGAGGTGAATTCGAACCTAAGAAGTTTATTAAATATTGTGATAAGTTTGGCATTAAGCACGAATTTTCAGCACCAAAAACACCACAAAAGAATGGTGTAGTGAAAAGGAAAAATAGGACAATAGCAGGTATGTCCCGCACTATGCTTCATGAGAATAAAATTGTTAGTCATTTTTGGGCTGAGTCAAAACGTATTACTTGTCATATCCTAAATAGAGTATATTTTAGGTGTGGAACTAAAAAGACTTCATATGAATTGTGGTATGATAGAAAGCCCACTGTTAAATACTTTAGAGTCATTGTAAGTAAATGTTATATCCTTAGAGATAGGGAACACTTGGGCAAATTTGACTCTAAGAGTGATGAATGTGTCTTTTTGGGGTATTCACAAACAAGTCGGGCTTATAAGGTTTTTAATCTTAGAACCAATGTTGTTATGGAGTCAATTAATGTTATGTTTGATGAAGCAAGTCCTAAGGTAATCTTTACTCAACTCGATGAGGAGGATACTAATTTTAAAATCGTAGGAAACAAAAAAGAACCTACAAATCATGAGAAAGAAAGAGTTGAGAATTTAGGTGAAGAGGTTGAAGAAGCTGTTGACAAGGAATTAAGAGTCACCACTGATGAACCTATAGGAATTCCTGCACCTTTTTTAGACATTCCCACATCTGGTAGTTCTAGGGTTCGATCAAGTCATACAGTTGATAATGTGATAGGCCCATGGGATAGATCGGGTATCAGAAGTACAGTCCGTAGTGATCAGTTTGGAAACTCATGCATTGTAGATAATTTAGGACACTCATGTCATATGGCTCAGTTTGAACCAAAGAATGTTGATGAAGCTCTTCAAAGTTCTGATTGACATATGGCTATGCAAGAAGATATGCTTCAATTTGTGAAAAATGATGTTTGAGAATTGGTGCCTCAACCTAGTATGTTAACATCATAGGGACCAAATAGATCTTTAAAAATAAACTTGATAAACATGACCTTGTGATGCGAAATAAAGTTAGATAAATTGCACAAGGATATACTCAAGTTGAGGATATTAATTTTGATGAAACCTTTGCACCTATTGCTAGACTTGAGTCTATTCATCTTTTTTTTGCTCTTGCATGTCACTTTAAATTCAAATTGTTTCAAATGAATGTAAAAAATGTTTTTCTTAATGGTATTTTGCAGGAAGAAGTTTACGTAGCACAACCAAAAGGTTTTATTGATTATGTTTTTCATCTTTAAAAGTCTTTTTATGGTTTAAAGTAAGTACCTAGAGCATAGTATGAGAAGTTAACTTCTTATTTAACGCAGAAGGGCTTTCGAAGAGGGGTAGCGGATAAAACATTGTTTATTTTCGGGAAAGGAAAATATTTTCTTGTTGTACAAATTTATGTAGATGATATTGTTTTTGGTGCTACTTGTGATAACCTTGTTCATGATTTTGTTAAAAATATGAGTAATACTTTTGAGATAAGCATGGTTGGTGAACTAACTTTCATTCTAGGTCTCCAAGTGAAACAACTTGATGATGAGATTTTCGTATCTCAATCAAAATATACAAAGGAGTTAGTTAAGAAATTTGGTTTGCAAGATTCAAAACATGTGCAAACTCAGTACTTCATCCAAATTGGATAGACTTTGATCCTAAAAAGGTTGATCCTTTTTTGTATAGGAGTATGATTGATAGCTTGTTGTATTTGGCAGCTAGTAGGCCAAATATTTCATTTAGTGTAGGTGTTTGTGTTAGGTATCAAGCTAATCCTAGAGAACAACATGTTCTTGCAGTCAAGTGCATTATTCATTATATCAATAGTACATTAAATTATGGATTGCGTTATTCTTCTGAATCTAATTCTGAGATTGCAAGCTATACTTATGTTGATTGGGCTGGTAACAAGGATGATAGGAAGAGTACTTCAGGTGGTTGTTTCTATGTTAGTACTAATCTTCTCTCATGGTATAACAAGAACTAAAATTGTATATCTTTATCATCTTGGGAGGCTGAATACATTGTTGCTGGAAATTGTTGCACACAATTGCTTTGGATGAAATGGATGTTTCTGGATTACGGAGTTGATCAAGGTATTATTGCTATCTTTTTTTTTTTATAATACTATTACAATTAATATTTCAAAGAATCCAGTTTTGCATTCTAGGACTAAGCACATTGATATTCAATATCATTTTCTTAGGGAGCTTGTTGAACAAAATGTCGTGTCTTTGAAAAAAGTGCATATT